TGGTGTTTTGACATTCCCCTTCATTGCCTGCAACAAACCCCCCACAGAGTCGAGTCCACCAAAGTGCTTTCAGCTCCGTGCCGCAAATCCGGTTAAAACAGTCCAGAATATCCAGAAGAGAGGTTTTTGTTTGGTTAGATTACGTTAACGTAAATGTGTCGTTAAACCCGCCACCACCTGACAGCCCATTAGTAGAGTAAAGCCACGACAAATTTTGCTCTTTGGTTCTTTCGGTAAAGTCACGTAGGTATAAAATAAAATAAACCACGACGTTTCGGGCGCAACACACGAGCGTTCCGTCATCAGGTGGGAAAGCTGTGGCCTGCTGCTGAGGCAGATTGTTTTAAAAGGTTTGAAAATGGGTGTAGCCCAAGGGTCATAAAGAAGTGGGCGGGGCTAGTGATGTTAATGTGAGAAATTAGCATGTAACTGTAAGATAGGAGGAGAGCGGCCTCCTGGACGAGGGCACGGAAGTGGCTATGTTAATGTGAGAGATTAGCATGATGTTAATGTAAGAACGGGGAGTGGCCTCCACGAGGCAAGAGCGTCAACGCAAGAGAACCACCGCAACAGTGGCCATTCCGGTGAGACACACAGCCCATAACACAGTCAGAACCAACGATACATCGAGGCGAAGGGAGCAGAAGCACCACATTGTTATTTTGCACAACAAATGTGGGTTTACTCTCCAACACACCGGTGTGCTGAACTAGTGACGAATTTTCACGTTTTGTTTTAAGTGCCTTAACCTAATTGGCTGTGTCGGGTGGTGGCGGGTTTAACGACACGTTAATATTTACGCGATCTAACCCAAAAAAAAACCTTACGGATAATATCGGTCGCGAAAGCCTACGTTGTTAAAATAGTCCGTAAAATAGTCTGTAATATCCTGGTGAGAGTCTGCGATATCTGGGCACGGCCAAAAGGCGTGCAGGTTAACTCTGAACTGTGCCCTGCTAGCAACCTCGGGCAATCTGGTTAGGAGTTGCAAAATTTGGTACTCGTGTTATTGTTCATGTAGCATAGGTCCCGTGTATGAATTTAAATTGATTAATTTTCAATGGAGGAGACCTGGGGCCTGCCGCCTGAGCCCGCCACTTGACTAAACTTTTTTTTTATTTTACCAGGTAAGGCCCACTGAGTTATATAGCTTTTTTTTTTTAGACGTGACCTGGCTATCAAATGATATCAGGTGGAAATGTATAGCGGACAAATACTTTAAACGCATGGTTTATTATAAATGTGGAGTGGGAAAACCGGAGGACCTGGAGAAAAATCCACGCGACCACGGGGAAAACATAAAAACTCTAAATATAGAGCAGCAGGCGCCAGGGTCGGGATCGAAACCCACGTCCTCCTGTATACCAGGCGAGGTAGTCAACATCTCCTAGCCACTGCGATCGCCGCTTATGGAGAGGGATGTCCCCCGTCCCAGCAGCTTTCGTTGAACGCCTGCTCTGAAGCAGACAGACGCGTACGTTACGGTAAATACACACACCACAATGAATACACGCGCACCGTATTAACCACGGCAGCCTGCCGGATTCAAACCGCGAAACCTCTGCAGCAACGAGCGGGCCAACGCGTCACCACCCCAGTGACATCACGCGCACGTCTGGTGATGTGGGCGACTTTTGTGGGGAGGTGCACTCCACTTGCACACACTGGCAGCAGTCACTCAGCTCTCGAGCCTTTCTAGAACATAACTAGACATCCCCATTACTCAGCGTTTTAGCCCTTCTAGAACGTGGTTAAAATTCCCTTGATCTCTCTCGCCCTTCTAGAACGTCACTAGAATTCACATCACTCAGCTCTCTATCCCTTCTAGAACATGGTTAGAATTCCGATTAACTCTCTCGCCCTTCTAGAACGTCACTAGAATTCACATCACTCAGCTCTCTACCCCTTCTAGAACGTGGTTGAAATTCCCATGATCTCTCTCGCCCTTCTAGAACATCACTAGAATTCACATCACTCAGCTCTCTATCCCTTCTATAACATGGTTAGAATTCCGATTAACTCTCTCGCCCTTCTAGAACGTCACTAGAATTCACATCACTCAGCTCTCTATCCCTTCTAGAACGTGGTTAGAATTTCCATTAACTCTCTCGCCCTTCTAGAACGTCACTAGAATTCACATCACTCAGCTCTCTAGCCTTTCTAGAACGTGGTTAAAATTCCCAAGATCTCTCTTTCCCTTCTAGAACATCACTAGAATTCACATCACTCAGCTCTCTACCCTTTCTAGAACGTGGTTAAAATTCCCATTATTTCTCTCGCCCTTCTGGAACATCACTTGAATTCACATCACTCAGCTCTCTATCCCTTCTATAACGTGGTTAAAATTCCCATGATCTCTCTCGCCCTTCTAGAACATCACTAGAATTCACATCACTCAGTTCTCTACCCCTTCTAGAACGTGGTTAAAATTCCCATTATCTCTCTCGCCCTTCTAGAACATCACTAGAATTCACATCACTCAGCTCTCTATCCCTTCTAGAACATGGTTAGAATTCCCATGATCTCTCTCGCCCTTCTAGAACATCACTAGAATTCACATCACTCAGCTCTCTACCCCTTCTAGAACGTGGTTAGAATTCCCATTATCTCTCTCGCCCTTCTAGAACATCACTAGAATTCACATCACTCAGCTCTCTATCCCTTCTAGAACATGGTTAGAATTCCCATGATCTTTCTCGCCCTTCTAGAACATCACTAGAATTCACATCACTCAGTTCTCTATCCCTTCTAGAACGTGGTTAGAATTCCCATTACCTCAATCGCCCTTCCAGAACATCACTAGAATTCACATCACTCAGCTCTCTATCCATTCTAGAACGTGGTTAAAATTCCCATCATTTTTCTCGCCCTTCTAGAAAATCACTAAAATTTACATCACTCAGCTCTCTATCCCTTCTAGAACGTGGTTAAAATTCCCATGATCTCTCTCGCCCTTCTAGAACATCACTAGAATTCACATCACTCAGTTCTCTACCCCTTCTAGAACGTGGTTAAAATTCCCATTATCTCTCTCGCCCTTCTAGAACATCACTAGAATTCACATCACTCAGCTCTCTATCCCTTCTAGAACATGGTTAGAATTCCCGTGATCTCTCTTGCCCTTCTAGAACATCACTAGAATTCACATCACTCAGCTCTCTACCCCTTCTAGAACGTGATTAGAATTCCCATTATCTCTCTCGCCCTTCTAGAACATCACTAGAATTCACATCACTCAGCTCTCTATCCCTTCTAGAACGTGGTTAAAATTCCCATTATTTCTCTCGCCCTTCTGGAACATCACTTGAATTTACATCACTCAGCTCTCTATCCATTCTAGAACGTGGTTAAAATTCCCATGATCTCTCTCGCCCTTCTAGAACATCACTAGAATTCACATCACTCAGCTCTCTAGCCCATCTAGAACGTGGTTAAAATTCCCATTATTTCTCTCGCCCTTCTGGAACATCACTAGAATTCACATCACTCAGCTCTCTAGCCCATCTAGAACGTGGTTAAAATTCCCATTATTTCTCTCGCCCTTCTGGAACATCACTAGAATTCACATCAATCGCTCAGCTCTCGAGCCCTTCAAATCGCATGGCGTCATTCCCCGTTCGAGTTCCGTGACGCCATCTGAGTGAGAGTGGTTCCCAGCACGTCAGATCTTGTGTGTAGTGACGTAATACCCGTGGATGTTTTTTTCCTGACGTCATCCTACTTGTGTTTTTTTATTCTTCAGGTGACGTCACTCCCGTTCGAGGGTGAGTATCGTGACGTCAATCGCGTGTTAGATTACCGATTACGTTTATCGTTACCCCCCTCCCCCCGTTTTAGGTCGGGTTGCCGCCGTGGCTTAGGAGATGTTAACAACCTCGCCTGGTGTACAGGAGGTCGTGGGTTCGATCCCAGACCCTGACGCCTGCTGCTGTATAGTTGGAGTTTGCGTGTCTCTCATCATCACGGTGGCTAAGAGATGTTAACAACCTCGCCTGGTGTACAGGAGGTCATGGGTTCGATCCCAGACCCTGACGCCTGCTGCTGTATATTTGGAGTTTGCGTGTCTCTCTCTCTCATCATCATCACGGTGGCTAGGAGATGTTAACTACCTCGCCTGGTGTGCAGGAGGTCGTGGGTTCGATCACAGACCCTGACGCCTGCTGCTGTATATTTGGAGTTTGCGTGTCTCTCTCATCATCATCATGGTGGTTAGGAGATGTTGACTACCTCGCCTGGTGTACAGTAAGCGTGGGTTCGATCCCAGACCCTGACGCCTGCTGCTGTATATTTGGAGTTTGCGTGTCTCTCTCTCATCATCACCGTGGCTAGGAGATGTTAACTACCTCGCCTGGTGTACAGGAGGTTATGGGTTCGATCCCAGACCCTGACGCCTGCTGCTGCTGCTGCTGTATATTTGGAGTTTGCGTGTCTCTTTCTCTCTCCCCGTGGTCGCGTGGATTTTTTCTCTCCAGGTCCTCCACTGTTTCCCCCTCCACATTTTTTTTAAATCGAGCGTCCTCATTATTTGGATTATTTTGCTTCGATAAACTTCCACACGATGATGATGATGGATCGCCATCTCTTTGAGCAGTGATTTGATTCGTTTACCTTTCTTAGACTCTACACTCCCTATCGTTTTTTTATTAATTGTGTTAGTTGCTGTGACGTTCTGACCCCCCCTCCCCCCCAAACACATGGCCCCCTTACTGGACAATCTGTTGCAAAGAGCTTCATAGCTCATCGGATTCCCTCCCACCCGGCAATAAATAAATAAATAAATGGGCGAGGTGGGGCTAAGCGGGCGGTGGGTGGGGCTAGGCGGGCGGTGGGTGGGGCTAGGCGGGCGGTGGGTGGGACTAGGCGGGGGTGGGTGGGGCTAGGCGGGGGATGGGTGGGGCTAGGCGGGGGATTGGTGGGACTAGGCGGGGGTGTGCTAGGCGTGGGTGTGGCTAGGCGTGGGTGTGGCTAGGCGTGGGTGTGGCTAGGCGTGGGTGTGGCAAGGCGTGGGTGTGGCTAGGCGTGGGTGTGGCTAGCTAGTGACGTCACGCTTCCCCACCCAGCTGTGAAGCCTTCGTGTGTGTGTGTCTGTGTGGGCAGAGAGACACGCGGCTTGGAGAGAGAGAGAGACACGGCACACCACACACAGCACACCACACACAGCACGAGTCTGCTGGGGTTGGTGGTACGCACACACCACACCACACACGCCGGGGGAGACGGCGTTGTGTGTGTGTGTGGCTTCAGAGGCTCGCACACGGGAGATAGGACGCGGGAGATTTGGTGGTGTGGACAGGGAGGGTAACACGGGAGGAGAGACGAGAGAAGGGGGCATGTGTGGTGACGCTGCCTGCTGCGGCTGATCGGACGTCGGCCGTCGGCCGTGGAGAGAGGACGATGAGGAGACGACGACGAGGAGGGGAAGGAGGAGGAGGAGGAGTGCTGGTGTTGGTGTCATTCGGTGCCCTGGTCATAGCTGCAGGTGATTTGTGTGTGTGTGTGTACTTGTGTGTGTGTACGTGTGTGTGTACGTGTGTACTTGTGTGTGTACCTGTGTGTGTGTACCTGTGTGTGTGTACCTGTGTGTGTGTACTTGTGTGTGTGTGTGTGTACTTGTGTGTGTACTTGTGTGTGTGTACTTGTGTGTGTGTGTACTTGTGTGTGTGTACTTGTGTGTGTACTTGTGTGTGTACTTGTGTGTGTACTTGTGTGTGTGTGTACCTGTGTGTGTGTGTACTTGTGTGTACCTGTGTGTGTACTTGGTGTGTGTGTACCTGTGTGTGTACTTGGTGTGTGTGTACTTGTGTGTGTGTACCTGTGTGTGTACCTGTGTGTGTGTACCTGTGTGTGTACTTGTGTGTGTGTACCTGTGTGTGTACTTGTGTGTGTGTACTTGTGTGTGTGTACTTGTGTGTGTACTTGTGTGTGTGTGTACTTGTGTGTGTGTGTACCTGTGTGTGTACTTGTGTGTGTACTTGTGTGTGTACTTGTGTGTGTGTGTACTTGTGTGTGTGTACTTGTGTGTGTACCTGTGTGTGTGTGTGTACTTGTGTGTGTACCTGTGTATGTGTGTGTACTTGTGTGTGTACCTGTATATGTGTGTACTTGTGTGTGTGTGTATTGGGAGCGGTAGCGCAGCGATTATTGCGCTGCGCTACGAACCCGGCGAACCGAGTTCGATTCCCGCTCACGGCTCTCAACACGTGCGAACCGCTCCTGGACCTCCCCTAGGTCGACTCGGCCTCGAAACGAGTACCTGGTGCGGCGTGTAAGTAAACTTCGCCACTGGTGGGAAGACAAAGGCGGTCGGGCGTGGTGCTGGCCACCCACACCCTCGTGTGCCACGCTAAGAAGTCTGTTGAGGCTATACGGGGGACCTTTGCCTTTCGAGTGTGTTGTTGTTGTGTGTTGTTGTACCTGGGTGTGTTTACCTGCGTGGGGGGGGGAGCGGTGGTGCAGCAATCGGCGCCAGCGACGATCCTCTCAACCGATTCCTGGGTCTCACTCGGACTCAAACGAGTACCTGGTGCGGTGTGTAGTGAACATCGTCACTGGGGAGACAAAGGCGGCCGGGCGTGGTGCTGGCCACCCACCCCCTCGTTTCATCAAATGTTCACACATCCACATATACAACACTTACCGCACCTTCATAGGTGCTCGCTAACAGCACTTGCCCCCCTACAGTCTGATAAGGCTACACGGGGGATCTTTGTCTTTTTTTCTTAGTTGAACACACACGTGTGTGTGTGTCTGTGTGTGTGTGCTGAGACTGGAGCGTGCCACTAAGAGGTGGGGCCTTACCATCAGCCCCACCAAAACTAAGCACCTGCCTGGGTATTTTGTACCATCGGACACTCCACCCCCACAACTCCCAATCGGTGATGGGGCAGTTGTGGAGAGAGTGGAGAGTTTCCCATACCTGGGCAGTGTGCTTATGACTGGCTCCAGTTTAACAGCAGAGGTCTCACTCCGAATCAGTCGAGCGGCAATATCTTTTCATCGGTTGCGTAACGCTGTGTGGAAGCTACCTGGTCTGTCGCTCCGCACTAAGCTTCAGGTCTTCTCGGCCACGGTCATTCCCTCCCTTCTCTACGCTTGCGAAACGTGGACCCCCCTAATGGAACATCTTCGCCGGTTAGAAACATTTAGGCTGGCCTGCCTACGATCCATCCTGGGTTTAACCAGACTGGATTGTGTGAGGAGCTCACAAATCCTTGAAAGATCTGGGCAGGGTCCCATCGGTGAGCTCCTCCGGCAGGCAAGGCTGCGATGGCTGGGTCATGTAGCCCGCATGCCCAGCCACCGCATGCCGAAACAGCTTTTGTTTGGCCGGATTGAGGGGGCTAAGCGGGCGCGGCACGGGCTGGAGAAGAGATGGAGTGATGTGGTACAGGAGGACGTGGAGCTGAGTGGACTTGCCGATGACTGGTACCAGCGGTGTCAAGATCGGCCTCTGTGGAGGAGGCTCGTGAAGGATGCTACTGGGCAGTTGGAGGCAGTCGCCCTCCAACAACAACGGAGGGCGGAGGAGCGACGCTCACAACAGTGAGCGGAGCGCCGGGTGGGTAAAGCACAGCAGGTTGGCACAGTAGGGGGCACAGGTGGTGCATCAGCCAGTCATCTCAGTCAGTCGACCCGTGGCACCTGGGTCTGCCCCGTGACCTCCTGCCAGTGGGCGTTCGACACTTCACGTGGCCTCAGGGTACACATAGCCTGGCACAAGCGTCGTGGTGACGTCACCGCCACTTAGTGGCGAATGGCGGTTGTTGTTGTGTGTACCCGCATGCATTCTTGTAGACTCGCACAGAGACCCCAATAGATTCACAGAGAGAGACACCCGAGTCTCGCGTGGAGACCCACTGAGACTGGCACGGGAGACCCTTGCAGCCACGCGGACGGAGTTGAGATCCAACCGGGTTTTCAGGTTCAGCGAGCTGATGATCTCAGGCTGGTCACCGGTGGTGTGCGCAAACACCCCCCCCCACCCCCCAGCACGGTCACACCGTGGTTGTGAGCTTAATTTTATTGAGTTCCGGCTCTTGGAGAATTCTCGAGCTCTGACAAATTCAAATGATCGGTTCGACCGTGGCGCAACGAACGTTACCCTCATGTGGCACAGCGGGGAAGTGCTGTGTCTACCGTGTGGGCAAGTTTTCACTTGAAGAAGAAGATGTAGCTCTTTGATACCCACTTCCCCGGGCCGTTCTGACTGCACCAGAGTGTCATTTGAAGGCGAAGAAGAATAAGAAGGGATCTCAGATGTAGCTCTTTGATACCCACTTTCCCGGGCTGTTCTGTCTGCACCAGAGTGTCACTTGAAGAAGAAGACGAGATCTCAGTGGTAGCTCTGTGATGTCCACTTCCCCGTGGCGTTCTGACTGCACCAGAGTGTCACTTGAAGAAGAAGAAGGGATCTCAGTGGTAGCTCTGTGATGTCCACTTCCTCGGGCTGTTCTGACTGCACCAGAGTGTCACTTGAAGAAGAAGAAGAAGGGATCTCAGTGGTAGCTCTGTGATGTTCACTTCCCCGGGGCGTTCTGACTGCACCAGAGTGTCATTTGAAGATGAAGAAGAAGATATCTCAGATGTAGCTCTTTGATACCCACTTCCCCGGGCCGTTCTGACTGCACCAGAGTGTCACTTGAAGAAGAAGAAGAAGAGATCTCAGTGGTAGCTCTGTGATGTCCACTTCCCCGGGCCGTTCTGTCTGCACCAGAGTGTCACTTGAAGAAGAAGAAGGGATCTCAGATGTAGCTCTTCGATACCCACTTCCCCGGGGCTGTTCTCTGCAGGGCTGCTTTACGTTTTGAGCCATTAGTATGTACAAGGAGGTCGTGGGTTCGACCCCGACGCCTGCTGTGCATGTGGAGTGTTTTTTGCGTCTCTCTTTCTCTCTCTCCCCGTGGTGGTCGTGTGGATTTTTCTCGGGGTCCTCCGGTTTTCCCCGCCACATTTAGAGTCGGCGCGCGTTGGGAGTTGATTTGGCCGCTGCTATGAATTTCCACGGCGACGATGGTGAGCCAACTTCGTTGAGCTGTCATTTGTTTGCAGAAGCGAAATAGCTCAGTGAGCCTTACCTGGTCAAATAAAAAAAATTAGTGTTTTTATCTCTCTCTCCATGTCCTCCGTTCCCCCCTCCCCCCTGCCGCGCGCCTCTGAACACTTAGGATAACAACGTCACCGCGTTTCGAGAACTTTGACAGCTGCTGTGGCTTTAACAAAAGAGGGCTCGCTCATTGAGCTCGCTGAGCCATCGTTTGTGTTGAGCCCTCGTTTTTTGTGAAAGCCACAGCTCACATCCGTAAGAAGAGAGCTCACACAGCTTCAGTGGGGCCTCACCTGGTTAAATAAACGGTGACATTTATTCGTTACCCCCGCCGCCGGTGTCTTATCCGAGCTGCGTTTTTTTTTCTTCCGTCCGTCAACGCAGCCATCTGCCGCTAAATCGCTGCCCTCGCCGCGGCCGCCTCTCCCGCTGTGTGCGCGTTCTCGCGTCCAGGTGAGTGTGGGAAAGGGCTTGGGGGGGGGGGGGAGTCTTCATTGAGCCCCCCCCCTCCCCATTGCAACCCCCCTCTCCCCGGCCACGGGAGCCGAGATTCCCACCGGTGGCGTGGCAAATTCGCTCGTCATTCACCCTTCCGCTTCCTTCGCCGGCAACGACGGCACTCGCCGATGTCTCCGAGACTCGACGGTGAGGGGGTGGGTGGGGGGGTGGGTGTCCCCCCCCCCCCCCCCCCCCCGTGGGGCCAACGCTGCCGCCGCTGAACGCGATCCTAAGTGAGTTAAGAGCTGGTGGTTTCGTGGTTTGGCCAATGCCAGTTGCGCTGTGTGCGTGTCTGGTTTTAGTGGTGGGAGGGGACACGGGAAGCCGGTGGAGAACCCGCGCGAAACATGGGGAGAACTCCGCACGACAACAATAACAACAGTCGCCAACAGCAACAACAACAACAACCGCCGTTCACCGCTAAAGTGGCGGTGACGTCACTGCACCATGCCAGGTGCACTTTGAGGCCACGCGAAGTGGCGAAGGCCAGCTGGCGGGAGGTCACGGGACAGACCTGGGTGCCGTGGGTCGACTCGCGGGATGCGACTTGAGCGCTCGCCACTGTGCCAACTTTCTGCGTTTCTCGCCGCTCGGCATTCTGCTTATTGCGAGCGTCGCTCCACTGCCCTCCGTTGTTTGCCGGAGGGCGACTGCCTCATACTCCTCAGTAGCGTCCTTCACTTCGCGCACAAAGACAAAGATCCCCCGTGTAGCCTTAGCAGACCGTTGGGGCGAGCGCTGTTAGCGAGTAGCACCTGTGAAGGCCGGCACGGCACGCGAGGGGGCGGGTGGCCAGCACCACGCCCGGGCCGCCTTTGTCTCCCTAGCGGCGATGTTTACACGCCCGCGACAGGTACTCATTTGAGGCTTGAGTGGACGCGGGGGAGGCCCAGTACCGGTTCAGCGAATCGCCGCTGGACGTTGGCCGCGAACGGGAA